GATATTGGTTTTTACGTGCTATCCACACTCAACAAATTTAAATTTAAAACTGAATAAATGCTTTGTCAAGTAGAGAGACAAAGCTAAAGAATTCTTTTGTTAGCCGTCAAGTAACCATAGTGTTCTTCGATCGGCACTTATCATTCTTGGGATGGACTGTAAAGAATTTATTGTCGCATATATAACTCACAAGTAAGTTATGTGTATACACGTAATGTGTGTGTATTATATTATGTATATACGTTATATGTATACATCCATACACTTATACGCATACATACATGAAAAAGAAAGCAAGGACTTTTCAAGTAAAATAAATATAAATTTTCTGTATTAGATAAAATAAAATAAAGTAATCTATCTTTTGGATTTCAACTTTCTCTTTATACATCAGAAATATATAAATTGTAAATTGTAGACTTATTGATATTTATTTAATATTTAATTTATATTGGTAATGAAAAGAAAGGACAATAATTGAAAAGTTACTTTATACAATGTATTTACCGAATAGAATTTACAGTTACAATTTAATAGATTTATTTGTGATAAAAATAATTTTAATATATATATTACATGTATTAAAAAAAAAAAAATGTTAAAATTTTATTTTTAATTATAAGTTAATATAACGTATGTACTATATACATACATAAAATAAGATTTTCAAAATGCATCCTCATATATGAATATATACAGATATTTAAATGCAATTATAAAACATGAAAAAATTATATTTTATTTTTATTGAAAGAAAGAGAGAAGAATGAAAAGTAATTATTATGTATTATTCAAATAATTCTAAAAGCATATTTATTTATTTTATAATATATCTTTTTATAATTAGATTATTTATGCAATATTGCTTGCCGTCTTTTCTTTGCAAGAATCCCATATGAATTGAACCAATATTACTAAATATGTGACAATGCTACCTATTATCTAAACAGAAAATTTAAAAAATAATCATCTTTGCACATTATAGAAATTATTAATTTTATTGATAAATTATAAGTATTTCACACATATATATATATATATATATACAATTAATAAAATTATAATTAATATCTATCACTCACCCCAGTAAGAAGCTTCGCATCCACAGTGAGACCTTTCGCGGAAAATGTATTATTGCAATGAGGTATTTGCAAAGAAAACAGTTGTAACTGTAAAATATAAAATTGTTAAATACAAAATTAAAAAATGTAATTATGAATCCAGTAAATTTAATGTACCAAAAATTATTTCAATATACAAGACAATATAAAAAAATATTTAAAATTCCAATATTTTGTTTTACTATACCTCATCTTTGATTTGTTCATTCGTGGTGTTGTTAAACGCATCATAAATAGAAGTGCTGATTTGTTGAGCTTGATTTTTTCCCGTTTCGCAAGCCCATACAATTAATACTATTTTTATACAGTAGTATGCGATAAATGACAGAATATATACGTGAGATAATTCTTTCAGTGAAATTGTTGGTAAAGATTGCTGCCGTACGTTTATATAGCAATATAAACCCGCAATGATATTGGAGATGGTTATGACTATCGTAGCAAGAAGCTGGAAGCTGAAGATCATATTGAGCATCCGTACCGTATCACTGATCGTCAGATGTTGTCTCTTTAGAGTTTTAAGCTCCATGATCAGAATTGGAGTTCTCTGCTCGTAAGAGATCAGTCTAGAAACATATGGCCCATTGTTTGTGGCTATGAGTTCTCGCATGTTTGTCAGATTGTTATTGATGATTTCTTTAAAACACGCTTTTAATGTACAAACGCAATTCATATACAGCATATCCAGTTGAAATATTACTAGATTGATGTACACTTCAAACAAAAGATATATTTGAAATTTGAAAGCGCACATGGCCCAACTATATAACCCGAATCCAACTATATAAAGAAAACCAATGATATCCTTAGCGTGAATCAATCTAGATCACTTCTGATATGATTTTGAAGGAAGTCTTGAAGATATCTGCAATATAGTCTGAAATAAGCGTGTTCGCGGGCCAGTTAGAATTAACGTGATGATTATTATGAAGTCGCCAAGCACTAAGGTCCAGGCCCGCACAAGAAATAGGGGAACGTGTTTCATCTCCAGTTTTGCATTGAAAATATCGTACATTATTATCAATACATAAATGTTATAAACACAGATAACAACAATCGATAAAATGTAGTGTGGTTTTGAAACTTCGAAAGTCAAAATGTTATTCTTATATGGAAATATTCCAAGAATACGACACAAAGTGAAGCAAGGATACATGAGGGATTGAAAGTCCTTTGCGTGGAACAATCGCCATTTTTCCCTTTTTTTATTTTTAGATTCACCTTGGAAATTTGATGATAAATTCAACATAATCTGCAGTGATATTACGAGAAAACAAATTATGTAGACAGTAATCTATAAATTATTGATCTAGTTATTAATATATGTATATTGGTATTAATGTGAATGTTGATAGAGCGAGTTTCTTTTCTAAGTTACTTTAACCGTTTCGCTATTTTCCACTTGACTAAACCGATATGCACTGTTCACTTTCGATATAATTTCACTCAATTTAATTTCAAAACTGCAAATAATTATTGTCTCCTACAATGACACAAGATTAATAAAAGACTTTGTTAGGCATGATGTAACCATGGCATTTTTCAATTAACAAACAATTACTATCTCTATATGTAAGAATACGCAAAGGGAATAATGCTAAACATACAATTCCTCAAATATAGTTTAATAATTTATACACATATGAAACGGCAGGAAATGGCAATGTTCTGCGCAGTATTCCTGTGGATCGCCTTTTAGAAATGCATTTATAATAATTACCTATTTCCTAATGATTGTTTTTGAAGTCCATATTTACAATCCGCACAAGATGTTTGACATCTTCATTACATGACTTTGATCTAACATTTTTGTGTGTGTGTGTGTGAGTGTTAGTGGTGAGTATTTATATTTAAATATAGATATACAATTTTCTCTCTCTCTCTTTCTCTTTCTCTCTCTTTCTCTCCTTATATAAAGAGTTATATATATATATAATATATATGTAATTTTGACCTGACATAAATTATTTTTTAGAAGAATAAAATGATAAAGTTTTATTAATATAAAATGGTTGTATATGTCAACAATACATATATATCCAGTATATATTTATTGAACATGTACAAGATTTTTTTATTTCTTACATATATGTATTACATATATGTATTTATTACATATACAATAAAAGTATATCTTTGTTACAAAATATTTCTGCGATAGTAATTTATTAAGAGTAACAAGAATTGTTACTATCATATCTTCCAATAAATAAATTTGTTATCTGATTAACTATTTTTTTAATTGAATTGTGTAACACTGATAGCTGTTCTTCTATCGCATGAGTGCGACATGTTTAAAAATTGTATCAGGATTAATAGATACATGGTAATGTTACCCACTATCTAAAAATAAAACAAGAAATATAAACAATAGATCTATTATTAATTGAAACAAATCATTGATTACTTACTGCTGTAAAAAGTTTTGCATCCACAGTGAAAGCTTTCACCGAAAATGTATTTTCGCGATGTAATATTTGTAAAGAAAACAGCACCAACTACATCAGATCATAAGACTATTAAATAGCAGCGACAAAAAAAATAGAACTAATAAACATAATTCAATCTAATGTTTAAAATAATTTCATTAACGTACCTACAGTACATTTTAAGAAAATTATAGAGAAAATGTATGAAATTATATCTTTACCTCTTTTTTTATTTGTTCATCATTGGTGCTGTTAAGTAGATCGTGAATAGTAGTACCAATTTCTTGAGCTTGATTCTTACCGGTCTCGCAAGCCCATACATGTAATACTATTTTTAAAATGTTAAATCCCGTGGACGTTATAAGTACATCAAGATACTGTTTATCCAAATCAAAAAACACTCCATCTTGCCAGCGCACTATATAGAAATACAATTCAAAGGTAATGCTAGCGTAGGTCATGACTATAGTAGCAGTGACTTGCAGACTGAAGATTAAGTTCAGCATTTGCACTGTGTTGCTAACAATCAAATGTTGCTTCTCCAACATCTTGAGTTTTATCAGCAAACATTTATTTCTCTGTTCGTTGCAAATAAATCTGGGTTTATATAACTTTATATCGTTTACCATCAGTCTTTGTACATGTGCCAGATTCTCATTGATTCTCTTAAAACAAGCCTTTAATACACAAACACAATTTATAAACAGCATATTTATCTGAAATACCAGTAAACCGACGTATGTTGTTGATATCACAGTCAATATATTCCACAAATTAATTTCAAAGTCGTGTACTTTAGAATAATTTGTACATATTTGCACGACTCGCAAGGTAATGCCCAATATATCCTTGACATGAATGAATTTAGACATCTCTTGGTATGATTCCGAAGGTAATTTTGAAGATACCTTCAAAATCGTCTGTAGCAATCGCATTCGCGGACCACTCGAGACGTGCGTGATGATCATTATGAAGGTGCTGAACATTAAGTAACTGACTGCTTCAAAATTATGAGTTATGTCTCCAAAGCTGAATGTGAACATAATAATATTGTAAGTGAACATCAGATTTATAACACAGCAAACGCAGATAATCACAGTTGATAGGATGTAGTGCAATTTTGAAGCCACGAAGGTTGAAGCTTTCATTTTGTATGGAAATATTCCAAGCATACGGCAAATGATGAAGCAGGGATACATTAAGGATTCGAAGTCCGTGGCATGGAACAGCCACCATTTTTTCCGCATTTTATCTCTAGCTTGTAGTGAAATTGTTAAACTGATTAGCAAAAATTTATGGAAAAGTTAAAATGTTATTATAATCGATATACTTTGCCACTAATATAAATGTAAATAATATAGACGCGATAATTTTTTTTCTAAGTATAATCTTCAAGTCTGTCTCTTCGTAACAAGTGTTTAAATTGTTATAGTCTTCTTATTCTACACTTGATGAATTTAAGTTCAAAACTGCGAGCAAATCTTGCGTCAAACAGAGAGACAAAGAAATATTTGTTAGTCGTAAAGTAACCATGGCATTCTTCGATCCACATTTGTTTCTCTTAGAGTAGATTGCACAAAGAAATGATGTGTTATTGTTATGACATATGACACACTAATTTACGTGCACATTAAATGGAAAGTTGGCTGGTATTTTACATTTTTGTCATATGTCCATAGGATGATTTAATGAAAGGCATGAAAACTATCATCGTACGTTGATGTTATAATAAACTCTTCATAAAAGCTTTAAGTAATTATCGATCAACAAAAATCCACGTGCAAACGTATCTGCAATAAAATATTTGAATGGCTTTTAAAAAGAAACTTAAGTCATTAAATTCACTTTTAATATACTTATATTCTAACTTTGGCATATATATGTATATGTAGGTACATAGGTCATATTTTATTATAGGTAATATTTAAGTGATTCTAAAAGCATATTTATTTGTTTACTAAAAATATTTTTTTATAATTAGATTATTTCAGCAATGTTGCTTGCTGTTTTTCCTTTGCAAGAATCCGATATGAATTGAAACATTATTATTAA